GAAGTGGGATGTGGAGTTAGTCTTAAATGCAGAAGAATGAAATGTGATGGGACCCAAAATAACGGGACCTGCATATTCACACCAATGAAGCTGCTGACCAGCCACGACACGATGACCACATCACAACACCCCCCACCCCCACCCCTCCCCCGGCCCCACCTACATTTTTTATTACTAGACTCGTGGAGACAGGACGTTACGATACTCTTCTACGATCACATTTTGGGCTGCCAAAATCTTGTCGGAAACAACCTTTCGTATTAATCGCTAGCTAGTGAAAAACAGGAAGTCCAGGAGCGTGCCTTCCTGTGCCACTTATTCTGAAATGTTGGACCAGTTGAAAATAAAGAACACGTTTCTCCAAAATGTGAAAATTAAATAACTACAAACAAAATGCTTTTTGTTTCTCACCTTAATTCGCCGATGCGTCAAATGTTCGCATTGTAGCACCAATTAAGGATTTTTTTTTTTTGCCTTAAGTATCGGTGGCTGGTATCGGCAGCCTTAATGAGGGCTTGATACATAGGAATTGATTTTCGCAATTCACAGACGTGCTCTGCCCACGTCACCAACAAAGAGCAGGGATTTTCCCATACTTTTAATTGGACAATTCGTTTTTGCCTGCATTCAAGAAGTGTCATCTAAAAGCAAATGAGGTCATCGTGCGGCGTTTCTAATCTGAAAGCTGTAAAACTAAAAGTCCGACAGTGACGTCTGTCCCCACGACGGCAGTAATACAAGCATGCGTACACAAGCAGCTCTTGTCAAAACACAAATGTACTACATCGTGTACGGAGAGTCAACCACACACACACACACACACACACACACACACACACACACACACACACACACACACACACACAGGTGGACAAAAAGCACGCAAGTCAAGTTAGCGGTTACAGACCTGACTTAAGCACAGGGTTTCCAGAGAGCAGCACTTTGAGAAAAAGAAAGTCGCTCAGTCCAGTAGCTTAGCAAAGCAACGCCATAAAACATGCAAAGGCACACAAACGGCAAAGGAAAAGAGGACGAGCGTGCAACGAGAAGCCGAAAGGAGACGCACACAGAAGTGGAAAGGAAGGGATAGAAGATAATTAGAATAGAATAGAATCCTTTATTGTCCCCCGAGGGCCACAAAAAAAAAAAAAAGTGTTGCAGCGTCCACAAAATATCCGACAGACATTACAAATGTGACAAGAGAAGAAAAAGAAGAACAATATACAATATCCACAGTGTTTGGTAGCAAGAGGGCTCATGTACAAGATTGCAATGCAGCAGTGTGTGTGTGTGTGTGTGTGTGTGTGTGTGTATGTGTGTGTGTGTGTGTGTGTGTTTAAGATGGAGGGAATGGGGCAGGTGGGTGAAGAAGGAAGGGGTCAAGGGGGCGGGGGTACTAAAACGACAGGGTCGGAACAAGAAAGAGTCCTGAAAGCAGGAGGGACAAGAGGAGGAGGAGGAGGGAGAAGGCTCTACCTCTGTCTGCGGAGTTTTGAATAGCTGCAAAACAAACAAACAAACAAACAAACAAAAGAAAATGACCAGAAGAAGAAGATAGTGTGAAACGCTGACGGGTTGATGTGGTGCAGGAAGACAAAAAAAAAAATAAATTTGCAAGATTGTGTGAAAGAGGGTTGTTTACCCACTAAATGGAAGGCACAGAAATGAGCCAAAAGGCAGCAATTTTTCAAAAATGTGAAATTAGCAGCAAGTGAACATAATTTGGCTTTTGTTTAGGTTTTTTTTTTGTTTTTTTTTTTGCGCCAATACTCACAAAGAAAACAAATGAGTCATGGGCATGCAGCAAAAACAAAAGCATCAGGATTTTTTGGTGGGGCGAGGATTTAATGGGCTTTTTTTGGTGGGAGGGTGGGGGGGGCAAAAAAATGGGTGTCTGACCTCTTTTGAGAGACACGCTGAAGGTCTTGCTATCGGTGCCATACTCATTGGCCACCTCGCAGGTCACGCCGTCCTTCACGACGGCGGCGCTGGCTGCCAGGACGACGGTGCTCACCACCTTGTTGCCCTCCACCGTCACGGACTGCGGCAGGAACAGACAATCGCGTCACACTCATGTTCTGTCATCATAATTTTTCGCTTTTCCCCCCCCCCCCAACCCCCCCATCAAAAGTTCCAACCCGAGCCTCTGTTCATGTTTTAATACCGCAGACATCAGCATGTACAGATGAAACGCTGCAGTTGAAAGGAATTCGTGATAGTTTTTTTCCCCTTTTATTATTTCACTTGATGTCACGCCAAGCCGCCTCATGCCGACGGGGGCTTTTCTTTTCAATTCAAGTGCATTAATAGCAAAATAGAGTGAGTAAAACACAATTTCCCCGGCCCTGCTCAGGCACACTGAAGCGCTCTGAATTTCTGATGATCTGTTTATACAGCTTTGCTTACACAATGAAATCATAATAATAACGACAATTGTGTTATGTGATCAAATATTTTAAACTGTTCCCTTGAACAACGCTGGTAGAGCCCTGTCTCTCATTGGTTTGTAAAATCAAAATTTCTTTTTATAATTTATTTGAGGGGGAGAAAATGTATAGAATTTTCAATTTGATCAAGAAAAAAAAGATAACTTTAACCAAAATCTCCACATTTTTGAAAAAAAAATATTTCAAAAGAAGAAAATGTTTTATATATTTTTCAAGAAAGCGTATCTATCGCTCCCTCAGCCATTTAACGACTTTCTGTGAACAACTTTGATCCTGTTGGACCAGAATGAACACAAAGCAAAGATGTTCAATTGTTGCGTTAGCATTGACGAGCTCGCGAGCTCCGACTGAGGCCTGTACCTCTTTTCCCGAGGGCTTCCAGGTGAACTGCGGGACGGGGGAGCCGTAGGCGGAGCATTTGAGGGATATCGCATCCCCTTCGTTGGACACCTCCCCGCCGACCAGCGTTTCGATCACGGGCTTTCCTGCGGAGGGACAGAGGAAGAGCGCGGAAATAAAACGCTTCCATCTCGCGCTGGGCGTAAACCGACGAGGTGGGAAGCGACGCCCCGGCTTGGCCGCTTCCTCCAACTGTGCCGCGTCCTTCCTGAGCGACAGCAGAGTCAGCTAACACGCATTGTTAGCATCCTGTTGGCGTGTCGGAGGAGAAATAACTTTTGATGGTTTATACAGATGCGGTTGACTTTGGACTGGATAAGTGATTCGAGCCTTAAACCGAATCCCAGTACCCCAACGATTGAGGAGAGTTTTATCATTTTTTTAATTTTCTGTATTCCTTTTTACAGGTAAAAACATTTAACCATACCGTACCGTGTTGGACCCTAATATTTTAACAAATAAAATACATAATCATAGCTCACAGTTTATGTGTTTAGATTTAGCTGATATATATTTTTTTCAATCTTGACATTTCCAGTGGTCAGAGAAAGCACCACTGTCCTCTTTTTGAATGGGAATGAGAGAAGCTAGCTAGCTGTTGAGTCATGCGCATGTGTTATAGCCAAGCTGCTACTGGCAAGCTAACTGAGCGATAGAAACATGTTTTGGGAATAGCCAGAGAAATCCGAATCACTCAGCACAGTGACCGTTTTGCCACTTGACATTCTCATTCACTGATTCTGACATCGCTCAACAGGCAGGGCCCTCTCTGCCTTTTTAAAGTCACACGCATTCGGTCAAAAATAGGCATAGATGCTACAGTACTTTACAACATGAGGATGGTGACCCCAAGTTGACAAAAATAATAGCTGAATCTCACACGCATAGATTTTTGTGTTATAGTACACGCACAAGGCTTAAAAAAATATAATATGAATAATGAATTCAATATTTGGTCACCATTCAATCGATTTTGTGTGTCGTGCAGCCAACCCAACCCCCACGCTCAACAAATGATGACTGTGCAGTGATTCCGAGACTTTTGAAGTCATGCCAGTGTCAGCGTGGTACCTTTAATGGTGAGGGTGGCGCTAGCCTGGTCCATCAGTCCCGGCACGGACGGCACGGCCCCGACGCACCTGTACTCTCCGTCTTTCTCGTACGAGTCGGCCGTTATCGAGAGGGTCCCGTCCTGAGAGAGAACCTCGGAACCCTGCGGCGATGAAAACACGGACAATGCAAGCCGTTGCTGCGCTCAGAGGACACTTCATTTCGGGACAGCCATCCATCCATTTTCTGTTGTGTTGGTCGTCATTAGAGGCGTGGCTGAGTTGGAGCTTTTGAAATTTTACATTCTCCTGTTTTCCATCGTGCTTGTCCTCAGTGCGTAGGTGAGCTGGAGCCTTGATTAGCTGTGCTGCCCTTATCAGGTACAACCATATGATTTTTTTTGGCTTTTACTAAGATAGTGTGATTGAGGTGTTAATGAATATGTTTTTATTGTGGCTGTGGTTTGCACTGCATCACACGAAGTAGTTGACAATCTTTTTGGTTATTTATCACACATCCCCTTTTTGCATTGAAACTTGGTCCACGGTGTCAGTGTACCTAATGTTGTGGCCTGTGAGTAGATGGGAAAGCACAAAGTGCGGGGTTCACACACATTCGCACAGCGATAACAAAATGACACGTCGGTGGGCCAATGTGATTTTTCCCAAGGAGATCGTGCCACATTAGAAAGAACGAGAAAGGGTTTTTCTTCCAATAAAGCGGCACATAAAGTTGTACTTGATACTTGATGTCAACAAGACATAACAGAAGATATGTAAAGCCCGACAACAACTGGGAAATATTCTGGGCGTGACACTACTGAAGGACACTACTGCTGCGGTGTGTCGACAGCAAATCACAACCGGGCATGACTGCTGACGTGTTTTTTTTTTTTTTTTTTTTTTTTTTACAATTTTATTGTTATTATTATTTTAATTGTTTTTAGATTTTACTGCTGCCGTCCCTGGTCTCCTCTTGGATCAAGTTGGACTCTTTCAGGAAGTAAATCCAGTGGGCCACAATTGTTTGGTTTTTGTCCGATAGGCGATGACAAATTGGCTCCACAAGTGGCCATCTCTCACTTTGTGGAGCTGAATTATGAGATTTCAGAGGATCATTGTGATTGGTGTTTTACGGTGAGTTGCCAAACTTTGCTGTCGTGCTGCCTCCACATGTCGAGATGAAAACTTTTTCGCCTTTTTAGGGTTGCCCATCTGTCTATACGGGGTTCAAATGTGTAAACAATCTGAAAAAGAAATGACCCTAAAATGGTCTCTTCAAACCAAAATGGCAGACTTCTTATGTCTTTTTGGGCTTGGGTTTTTGACACTTTGTTGTGAGTCTATTCGGGATAGACAAATTTGATGTTGCTTTGTGAACGTGGCTTGGGGGCGGGGGGGCTACATGCATTTTCAAAAAGGCTACGGAGCACATTTTCAAGGGTCACTCCTGCTTTGCACCTGGTGCTTTGTAGCCGGAAATGAAATGTCACATAAAATTATTTCTCCAAAATGTCAAATGATCACCTCTCTGGCAATAAGGTGTGATATTTGCCCGGTGTCGGCGAAAAAGCAGATGAAAACACACGGCTCACCTTTTTCCACTGCACTGTATGCGGGGCAGAGGCTTTGGTCTTACACTGCCACTCCACGCTGTCTCCAAGCATGACAACCTGAGGCTTCGCCGGAGTCACACTCATCGGATCAATGTCTGACATGGGGTGGAGGGGAGAGAAAAAAATCAATTTAGAGCCTTGGCGAGCATGTAATAAAGCCCTTAATAGGGTTACACAAAGCGGAATATTTGGAAGTACAAAGCTCATGGCTTTTCTCTGAAGTTAAGCCCACGTTGTGCTGAGCCCGTTCCGTACAATTCCGAGGTTATCTTCCCTTAATGTGTTTGATAGTCTCAAATTAGGATGGCTTGAAAGTGACGCCTGAACCGTGAACAATCCGAATGGACGGTCGGACCCTTTCGTCCTTTCCACACACGTCCCCCGACGATTTGGCCGTTTTCCCTCCTTTCAGATCAAAGTCAAATAAAGCGCATTCATCGGTTATGTCTGAAAGATTATCATGGGTGATTTTGAGTAAGGTCTGTGAAGGATTTTTAACGTGACATCGTCGCCATGTCGGGGGTCAGTGGGGGGGTTGCTATATGTTAAGAACAGCTCTCGAATGACAGATCGGACTTTGGTACTTGAGACAAATGGAAAGCCGTATGGGCATAAAGAATAGAGTTACCTATGCAGCTGACTGTTTTCTGCAGTTTGACGTTTACATTCTCCACTACTTGTCACTGTGCATTTAATAATATAATCAATGTATGAATCCATAGAGTATATGCGGGCCACTGGGCGGTGATGGTGATGTTCGCGCAGGTCACTCACAGTGCACGCTGAGGGTGATCTCGCCCGTCAGGTCAGCGTCGAGGTTGTCGAAGTCGATGGCCTTGCACGTGTACACGCCGGCATCGGTGCGCTTGGCGGATTTCAAGGTCAGGAGGCCGTCCTGGCCCAAGACGACCTTGTCCTGGAGGAAGGGAGGAACACAAAAAAAAAAAAAAAATGCCGAAGAGCCTCTTAAAAGTCATTGGTTTTTTCGTTTTGAAAAATGGTTGTGAATTTTACGCAGAGGAAAAATTTGCATGGCTAACAATTCTAATAACTACCGGCAAACTGTTGTACTGTGACTTACACACTTAATTTGTTCAGTGACTACATGTACATTTTCTTCATATGACCTGAGGGCAGGTTAGCCTAGCAACAAGTGAACACGCAAATTGATACTGCACTGCCTGCCACAAGACAAAACTCATGTATCCTTTTAAAATTAGTTTCTGAACTAAAATTTAAAAAAAAAAAAAAAAACACTAAACATTTTTCTTTGTGTTTGGATGAATATAAAAACAGAGCAGAAATACATTTTCTTTTTTTTCTTTTTTTTTAATTTAGATATAAAAAAATGTAAGCCCGGCTTTTTGTTGGACAGCAATGATATGTAGATTTTCTGCAGTTTAGGATGAAAACAAAAAAAGAAAAAAGAAAAATATGTTCTCCTTTGGTTTCATCTCACAATGTCTTTGAACGTACGTCTTTGGTGAATTCAAACTCGGGCTGAGGGTTTCCATCTGTCTCGCACTTCATGGTGACGTTGTCGCCCTCTTTGACGGCGCCAGGGTTGACAAGCGTAAACGTCGCCGTCTCCGAGGGGTCTAGATGGACAAGGACAGAGATTGGAAGGGAACAGGTGAGAATTCTTCGACTGGGTGAGTTTCCATCGCCATACTTTGTCATCAATAGACGTACAAAGCATTCCAAAAGTACTTTCCCAGTTACTCCTCTTTCCTCGCCTCATTCTCCACATTCTTTGACTTCTGCGGTGGGCGTATTAACCGTGACGGCAACAAAGAATCAGCTACATGACGTTCAGAAGCTGTAATGGTGCCTTATAATGTACCAGAATCAACTTCAAAGTAAAACTGTAATTTGAGTGAGCGGTTACGGACTTAAGTAGTTAAAAAAAAAAAACAGAAACAAAAATACTTTACCTTATATAGAACTCGGTTTATGGTCTATAAGGTATGTAAAAAAAAAAAAAAATCTTGTGTTATTTCTATTGAATCGTACTAAAAGAGCAACTAGCTGCTAGGTAGCTATGGAGAGCATCCTGATAATGCTAACGTGACTACTTTAGCTACTTTTTTACACTTTTATTTGATTCCATAAACAGCTAGCTAGCATTCAATAACTATGCAGTCGTAATTTCATGCATTGCTTTTTCATTTTAGTGATATTTGTGTTGTTTTTATTTGATTCCATTGAAAGAACTTCATGTCACGATGTAGCATTCCACAATCAAAGTCTCTTGAGCTATGATAGATAATCACTGGTCAAAATGTTACAAAACGAACAGATGTGTATTCACATTTCAGTTAATCTGTTGAAAGTTTGAAAGTGTACAGACAATTTGAGATGCTACATGAGATAACGCTACCGCGACTTAGCACGAATCTTAAAAAGTAAGCTATGCTACTACTTTGACCATTCTGTTTTCCATTCAGCACTGGTGTGGCGTGGCTCACCTGCACTCTCAGTGGGAGGATGGGGGGGGGGGCACTCATAATTGGTTCGATAACACGCTAGTCGTTGGTAAGTTAGCGAGAACAACAACAAAATAAGAGCCGCGTTCATCACAGACATTTTCAAAGGAGGCCTGCCATTTGGTACGCTCACAGTTGAGGTTGAGGTTGATCGTGTCGGACTTCTTCTGCTTGATCTGCTCCCCCGGCATGCTGTACTCCACCGTGCACTCGAACACCGAGTCCTTGTCGGCCTTGACGGGCTGCATGTAGAGGGTGCTTCTGACGGTGTACAGGCCCGATGCCTCCTTCACCAGCGACGGAACCATGTAGGTCTCTTTCCGATCAAGAGTGATAATGTGAGTTGTGTTCAACGGGGCGATAACAATTCTACACTTATATTTATCGACATACTTTCTTTCTTGTCCTTGACCTCCGCAAGGGGCTGGCCATCTTTAAACCAGATGATCCTTGGCTGCGGGTGCCCATTCATTGTCACGCAGCTACCAATCTGATTGACAGGACCAAAGTGTTAGCATTCCGTCGTCGGTACTGCTCTCCCTTGAATTACTCAGTCTAATTGCTTGTTGAATCAGTGTTCCCCAATGAAATGAGCTGTACTTCCAATTACCTCTTCCAGCCTGTCAAAACCAAAAACCGTCACATTTTTGTGTTGCACTGTATACAAACTAAAGCTGTGGGGATTCCAATGGAAGTGGAAAATCTGACGTCATAATTTTTAGACACGGATCACAACAACTTTTAATTTTGCCACATGTGTATCGTCATTTGAATGGGGAGCCCAATATGTGTTCATGTGAGGAGTACGCGTGCGTTGTGTGGAGCCAGGCTGGTTCCTTTGAGCGGTACACCAAGTTTATGCGTGTGGATGAAAATAGTTAGCCAGCTAATGAACGCTAAATAAATCATTCGGCAGTACGGTCGGTGACGCTCATCTCAGCAGAATATCAATGCCTCTTTCCTTTGTTTGTTGCCGGCCTATGACTCACTCTGTCACAAATGAAGGCAAACAAATGAAGGGTGTGAACCAACTTCAGCCCAGCTGGCTAACTCGCTTAGCTAATGGATGCAGCTGGTGTTGGGCAATAAGGATTTATTATTTACAACACCAACAGGCGCAAAACCTGACCTAGATACTAGCTTTGGCCACAACGTGGCATCGGATCTTGGGTAAAGCAAGCCATTTTAAACTAAAAAGAAAAAGAAAAGCATCTGCCACCGTACCTTCCAGTTTAATAGATAAGCTTTATTATAATTGAATGCCCGTCTTCATAAAACGCTTTGGGCACCATCTGGTGTATATAAAGCACTATATGAAGTACATTCCCCTTACCATTTAGATCAAGTTGGATTTTTTTCCATTTGTTAGATGATGATGATGTGTTTTTTCCAGACAAGTTGAATGGGTAAAATTCTAAACCATTCGGAAGTTATTCGCTGGTGTTGACATGATTAGCGAATTAGGATTTTGTGCTCGAGGCCGAACTCTAATAAAAATTGAATCAACACATTTTGTATTGAATGTCATTATATTGTGCAAGTGTACCGAATGAGGGATCCGGTATCCGTATATCAGCCCCCCCCACACACACACACACAGTGACAACATTGCAAACAAACCTCGGAGCTGTCAGGCTGTCCCACAGAAATGGCTTGGCTTGACGCTTGTGTGAGGGTGGGCTTCTCTGGAGCAACTGAGGGAGGCAAAAAAATAAAAACGAAAAAAAAAAAAAAAACAGAAGTAGATGAACATGATGATAAACGATCATATCATTATGATTCAGAGGAAGCAACACCCGCACCTTTAACCTCGAGATGCAAACACACAAAACAGCGCGGCCATCCCACGCTGGCTCCTGACCTTGTTAATTCAGTTGAGCAGTAAATATCCTGCTCGGCGTTATTCCAACCGTGATCCGCTTCACATGAGACGATAAGGCTTGGATCAAACACACACACACACACACACACACACACACACACACACACACACACACACACACACACACACACACACACACACACACACAAACCCACACACACACGCGCGCACGCACATGCACGTACACACAAAAAAAAAGAAAGAAAAAACTCCCAAGCTTGTAAAAATAATCACACAGGTGCAAGATGCACCGGCAGCTGTCCAAAGCTTAGAAAAACAAAAGGGCTTTTTCCCCACAATAATAACGAAGTGCTACCAAGCCAGATTTATTTAAATACCCCTCGCCGCCACATCACTTTTCCATGTTTCTCTGCATGACGTGTGTGCACTCACAATTGACAACAAGGCACTCTAACATTCTTTTGTAGTGGGTGAGGTGCGACTCATGTTGGGGCCAAGGTGTGTCACTGAAAAACTAACAAACAAACAAAAAAAAATCGGCTATACTGAATTGGTGAGCAACAGTTTGACGCGCCACAATAGAGTCCAAAATACTTCTGAGTGTGCACATCTTTTAGCAACGATCAGCAAACAAAGAATTCTCAGAATTCGCTTGACAGGCTCTCTAAAGCTGTATTTCCTCTGAGGGGCCATTTACTCGTGATGGCAAAGCCCAGAAACCAGCATAGCTCAGCTTCCAGGAGACCATAAAAACACGAAAGACGTCATATAATTCATCCTCCTCACTAGTAGATTCCGGCTGCCGAATGTAACTGTTGAATAGCTGCGGGCTGTGTTCTTCCACTAAGTGCTCGAAACGAAACGTTCAAATAGCACTTCATTGCGGTACTGTCCGACACTCCACTGTTAATAAAAGTCGCCCCCTCACCACTGACCAAAATTGCAGTTAATGGTTAACATGGCAGCACCGTTTCTGAGTACAAGCTGGACCACAAAAAAATGTTTTTTTCCTTCTTTCTATCTTCAACAGACGGCAGATGATCAGATTATTTTTTAATTCATAACAAAATGCGAACGATGTATGCTGTCTTGTTCTTTTGGCATTTTTCTATCATATCAAAAAAAAACAAAACAGAACAAATCTCCAATATCGTGACGAGCATCGTCCACTGGTACACCCTCGGCCATTTTCTTTAATAAGTTCAGTGGGGGTCAATTAACCACCAGCTAATCATTCTCGACACAAGTGATGAAAAGTTCAATCACACCTGTCATGTCTGATACATGTCAGCGAAATCACACTTGGAGGGGTTCGACCCCGCCAACTCTGCGTGGGTGTCCTTGGACCACCCACAGTCACCCCTGATTAGACACCCTTCATACTTTTACTCGCATCGCCCCAGAGTTAGGGCGAGTGATTTCATGGCTAACTTCCTCCCACAATGTCGAGACGTGTTGGAATATAGTCACGTGCGTGCATTTTCAAGCGCTTTGAAGCACGCTAAGTATGTTTTAATCTCATCTCATTACCTCCTGGAAACCGTACCCGGCTGTCAATCATCTGCCAATCTACCAAAGTGTGTTCCGTTAAAAATAGCCAAAATTCGACACTGGATCAAAATCACCATGATGTTTCAAATGCCGACCCTTGTGCTAAAAATCCGACTTAGCTAGCACAAATGAAAGATTGTTGGGCAATAGAATAAATCGTACTTCAGCAGTCAGTTGCCATTTTTTGGGGGGAGGGGTGAATTTATTTTAAGATTTTAGAAGCATTTAAAGCGCTCATTCAAAGATATTTCGAAAATTCCGCAAAGCTGGCGGTCACTTGTCACGTTTATGAAGGCCAGCATACTGTTAGCGTGTTTGCATTCTAGCTCAGAAAGCGCTCACAGACTGTTCTCAAACTTAAATTTTGCACGGTCACTATTTACAAGACTACAACTCTCATTCTTTTGGCATTTTTCTCCCCCACGGTGCAAATCATTTCCATCGGTTTTGTTGTTGACCATATCAAAAAGACTAAAAGACACATTTGATATTGTCATAAAGCCAAGACTAGGAAAAGACTCATCTAAAACATTACTTGCCACCTGACACAAAATGACGGGAATGACGGGAGCGTGCTGTGACTCTAGTAAAATTCTAAAACTTCATTCTGACTTTCAGTTTTTAGTCTGAGACTGTGAAAATCGTAAGCCAGGCATGAGGCGGACTCACAAAAAACTTTGATCATAGTGGAGGCTTGTCCATTGCCAGCAGGTCCGGCGGTGACTGAGCAGAAGAAGACGAGTCCATCGGAGGGTTGGACCGACGCGATGGTTAAGGTGTTGTCCTCGCTGATGCTGACGCGGCCGTTCAGGGGCGCGTCCTTGTCGCTTTTGGCCTCGCCGCCCTGCGTGAGGTAAGCCACGCGCTTCCTGTTTCCCTGAACCTCCTAAAAAGACAAAGAAAAAGGGAAGGAGCGTTGTTCAGCCGACACGTAGCAAGATTACATGACCTGTGGTCAGGTCCTATTGCAAAAAGCTAGTGAGAATATAAAATAGAAACGTAAAAATGCTAGCACGCTAGGTCCCCATATGGGACAACGCTGGAGCAAACGGAACTCAAAGGTAAGAGCAATCACTCACGACGTGCCACTCCACGATGGTGTTGTCGGACGACGGCGACGCGGTGTACGTGCAGGGCAGCTTGGCAGTCTCGTCCTTCAACACCTCCACTTCCGGAGGCACGTTGACCGTCACCAACGCTCGGCACACTGCCGAGACAAAGACACAGGGTTGAGTATACTTTAGCGCAAGTAAGTTTACACAAGTATTTGCCTCGCCCAGCAACGCAGCACGTGAATAATAAATGAACCATGTCGTCAATTTCTCAGCTACAAAATCTACATGTGAATAATTGATGCGTTGTGAGAAAGCTAGAGAGAGCGGGAAGGGAAGGGAAGACAACGTCTAGAGGGGCCCGTCCCAATAACGGGGCAAGGACGGATGAAAGCGTGTTTGCTGTCTGCAGTGACATAAGAAGAGATGAGTGGACAACCTGAAATTAGGAAAGGAAACATGTAAGGGGACTATGGAGGAGGCATCAATGTACACCCACACACGCATTCAGTAGATTCGATCAAGTGACTCACTGGCACATGCACAAAGAGCCCAAATGTAACGCACACAGTCCACGTGTTTGATCTTTTGGAAAACAGGCAAATTTAATTTGCATCGAGTGGAGAGTCAGCCGATGTGGACGTGTGACGTTTAGACACACGCGCACACACGCACACACACACACACACACACACACACACACACACACACACACACACACACACACACACACACGGTCATTCGCGATCGTTGGTCCTGTAATGATCAATCTGCTTTACAGACCAGACAGCTGGACAGATAGAGCTGGGCAATTAGAGCATAATTAGGGAATCCTCAATCCAGTGTGAGCCTTGAGTGTGTGTATGTGTATGCGTTTGTGTGTGTGGGGGGGTGGGGGGTCAGAGAATGGGTGTGGTCGTAGGGCTTGGAGGGAAATGCGGGGTGTAGGGTGGGTGCGTCTTGCTACATGGGGGTCTCGTTAGTTTACTCAGGCCAGATAATCCGATTTACCCAAAGAGAGGGAAAGTGTGTGTGTGTGTGTGTGTGTGTGTGTGTGTGTGTGTGTGTGTGTGGGTGTGTGTGAGACTCCTGGGGGGCATGACCGGGTAGCGAGACAGATGGGAATGAGACGGTCAGACTGTGACATGGACACACACACACACACACGCACGCACGCACGCACGCACGCACGCACGCACGCACGCACGCACGCACGCACGCACGCACGCACGCACGCACGCACGCACGCACGCACGCACGCACGCACACACACACACACACACACACACACACACATACTTACATTTGATCTATTATTAAGGTGTTTTGGCGAGAAACCAAAAAATGGTAAAAAGCTCCAGCTAAGTACAGTATGTGTGCATTGGTGTGTGTGTGCGCATGCGAGACACTGTCGAGGAGTCAAAGCATGGCGGCAGAAAGGAGACGACCTGCAGAAGAGATATCGGTCCTGCGTCTCCTGAAAAGTTAATGCAGAGCTGTCTTCAATGCTCTCGCTCTCGTCTTTTATGCACTTTGCTTCAATTCCTCTCTCCGCAGAAGCGCATGCACACACACACACACACACACGCACACGCACGCACACACACACGCACGCACGCACGCACGCACACACGCACGCACGCACACGTTCTTCCTCATTAATAGAAGAAGCCAACTGGATCCTCTCCTTTCCCTTTCACCTACTGCTGTATTCCAGACATCAAAACCAGGGCTTGTTTCAAGACCCCCTCTCCAAGACCATTGTTTAATCCGTAACACACACACACACACACACACACACACACACACACACCGGCAAGCAGAAGAGTGCCGAAAAAAGTCGACAAAAAAGAAAGACACAACGCCCATTTGTCTTCTCGCTCACCCAAACATTGCTCATGAGGGAGGGAAGCAGTTCGGCCTGTAAAGAGGAGCCACTGCATGCATCATGGTCCCCTCGGTGTGTATGTGTGTCTACCTGTATGAGTGCGAGTGTGTGTGGTCCAAAACAACCTTGGTGGCTAAGTGGATTATTGTGAGTTAGACTGTTGGCAAAGCAAACAGAATTCTGGCGCAAAGGACTCAGTCACCTCGAGCGGAAGGTCACGAAAGGCTGGGCTCCAGTTTTGAGTGCCCACGTGCCAATTAAATGCGGGCATTTGCATTTATTACTGACGGAGCACATGATACTCGGGACGTTCCGATCAGGGCTCTAAGCTGCCCATAGCGATGCCGATCATCCAATGAGAGTGATCGGCCGATACTGGTATCGGTTACAATCACGTGGATTCGGTGCCAATCATGCTGGAGTATGAAATGAATAACACAATCAATTTAATGAAGTATATGTCGAACAAAATCTTGTAGAAGGAAAATAAGACCGCTTCAGTAACGGTGTTTTTCAACTGTAGTTCCACCATCTGAACATTAGGTGGCACCCACATAATCGGCTTGAAGAAGAAAAAGAAATCTGACGTCATATCATGGAGTGCTGCTACGCCGTAAACTCGTGAATAAATAACGTCTTATAAAAAATAGTATCTATGTATTCCTGTCCATTTTGTACAGTGCGCCATTTTCATCTGCTTACAAGATATTTATTATTCATGTCGAGTTGACGCAGACGAGGCCGCTCTCATTCGGCTCCATCTCATTCCCTGGTGTTGTAAATGTGTACAGAGAGATTCACTTTACTGTTCGAGAAAACTTGCGCATCCACATCGCAAAACTAATGAAGCTGTAATGGACTATGAATGATTTAAAAAAATAATAAAATCACATTTCCAGAGCTCCCTTTTTTTTTCTCCAAGTCACTCAAAGATAGGACGATGATGCACGAAATTTGTGATAAATCCACCATCAAAGGTCATATTTGAAAAGAAGGAAAGGGTCGTTGTTTTGAATTGTCCCTTTGTCTCAAAGACACGCTTTTTGAGAGGCGGGGCGCAATTTACGACTTGGACTGGTTGCCAAGCCGAATGGCACTTCTAGACAAATGAACAACTTTGACTCTTCGACTGGTGAAAGACAGAACATGCAAATGCCACGCAGGGAGTCTCCGAGATTCAAACCCGGAACAGCAGAACTGCAAGGCAGACGTGCTGACCACTGAGTCACTGCGCTGCACTTGGGTTGACCGCATTAGGTGAAATAGTATTGGCCCCGCTGTACAGTAGTCTATTGTACAGTACAATCAATGCATGTGTGTGGGAGGGTGGCTGTAGAGGGGCAGTGAATGGATGGGGGAGGAGGTGTGGGGGGGACCCCCACGTAAAGCTCTGAATTCTGTCAACGGAGGGTTGATGAGAGCCGAACAGGTGCAGGCCAGCAGCTGCTGCCGCAAGCACACTGGCGCGCTCGCTCATGCACTCGGAGGCCAACAATGGGCATCAAAAAGCGAGGGCGAATGTGAAAGGCGACTGGAGTGGCTGGGAGCGGGGGTGGGGGTGTGTGTGTGGGGGG